ATTGAATATGTGTTGATCTTCATGCACACACGTTCATAAAATAAAATTTGGGACATGCCGGTCTTACGATTAAATAGATTTAAAGTATTTATTATTGTATTAAAACTAAACAAAGTCTATCTTTTCAAAAAGATTTCGCCCTCATTTTCAGTATACAGTATACCACCGCCAGATTGAAACGCTGATTGTCATTGTGTCAACCACCGAGTAACTATGATTTATAGCACAGTGTTCTTTTCTATGTAAAGTATTACCTGAACATACGGTGGGTATTGTTGTTACTGATTGAGAGGTCGAGGATGAGGGCCCGGCAGGTGGTTCTGGTGTCTCCCCATAGCCCCTGCAGGAGGTGGTCCTGGGTCAGCTGGTCCTGAGACAACTCCCACCCTGCCTCCACTATCACGCCAGCCTCCACACCCACACCCATGTGTCTGGGGGACACACAAATTTACGTTACTAGACCCCTCGGGGAGGCGGTCCCAAAACGCTCTTAAGGTTTTTCTCCTGCATAATACTTGCAATTGTTTCTGAATTTAAGTATTTGTAGATAAACAAAAGTGAATATAGTTTCACCTTATTATACTGGAGAGTACTTGTGAGTGTTGTGTAGTGGTGATGAGCACCAGGTGACAGCCGGTGAGATGGTGCTTCACTACCTGACCCACCATCACGCCCACATCCACGCCAACCTGCTCCACGGGTCCGTCCAGTTTCTGAATTTCTCTAGGTACAACAGCTACCAAGGTGGCGGCAACCACAATTGCATTATATCCGAGTGATGCCATTATCACCTGGAATTGGAAAACAAATACAATCGAGCTAATGGTGTTATTGTGTGTGTGTGTGTGTGTGTGTGTGTGTGTGTGTGTGTGTGTGTGTGTGCCCGTGTGTATTTATGTGTGTGTGTCTATCGAGGTGACACCTGTTAAATAAGCCTTAATGAGAATGCATTATTTTCATAATTAGGTCTGAACAAAGTTGTGGCGTTAAGCAGGATGTCTTCACCTTCGAGATTATCCAGCATGAATGACTAAGAGTTGACATACACTGTACAATCTGACTTGATAATTAGGCATCTCGTGTTTGTTTTAGACGAATAAGATGTAGCTTCCTATTCCTTGTGGTAGGAATTCATAGAAGAAAAATAATTTACTTAAAGAAAACTTGCACAAGTCATATAAAGATGTTGTCAGTGTTCCTGGGGTATATCAACCGGTTTTCCAAAGCCTTAATGATATTAAAAATCTTAAGGCATTGAGGCCTAAGATCTCATTTAATTTCATTTTGACGTCTAAAATTTGGTGTATAGAAGGGGAGGTGTTATGAGGAACGTCCAGGTTGGTATATTTGTCACTCTTTATTTAACGGTATACTGATTCCAGCAGCAGATAAATGTTATAAATAAGTTATCGATAAATATGTGTAAGTGGTTAAAAATTGCATTTCCTAGTCATTATTTTTAAGCGCTAAGGAATACACCCAAGACACTGTTGTGACTTTGGGGTGACCTTGCTATCTAATAGAAGGTTAATGTAAAAATAGGATGAATAAGAGGAGTGTATTTGTGTCTTTATCCATAGAGAATATAAAACAAAGTAGTATAGGTTACAGATTATACATTGATATTACATTATAAGAAAACGTTGTTTATAGGCTAAGATAACAAGATAATCAATAATACGTATTATCACTTACAACAAAAAGAGTCCCTACAAGCAGGTTGTGTTGGTGTTAAAACCTGACCACAAATTACTGTTATAAACTTAAATATAAGATGTACAGTAAACTATAATATGTTAAACAGATGATTTTTTAATAGAAAAATACAGAGTAAACACAGTAAATCATGTTAGATTTTATATTGTTATCATGATTAACAACAAAATTGGGTCAATCATTCATAACCTGTCTAAATGGTTAATGTCTTTATTAAACCTTTAGCTCGCAAAATATTGTGTAGATTTAGTTGAGAAACTTAATAATACTTTAATTAGGATTTTAAACTCGTTAGGTTTGATGTAACATCGCTGTTTTCAAAGGTCCCATATGATGATTTTCTTGAGTTCCTCACAGACTCCCTGGAGAATATTTCATGCCTGTCTCAAACAATGTTTATATTGAACTTATCAAACTGTGTATTAAGGATTTTAAATCTGAATTCGATGGAGAATGATATGCAACTTAACCCCTCGATCAAATTCACTGTGGAATTAGAAAGTGACTAAATTGTCGGCACCACAGAATAGGTAACACCTTTAAGTTCAGTATTTATAGAAAACCTACTAATGTGTGTTCATACATTCATTATTATTTTGCCCACCATAATATACAGTCAAACATTCAGTATTTTTATCAATATTTTTACGAATATGCAGTCCGGAATTCGTTGATGAGGAATTTGCATATATCTATAATATTGGATTGAATTTAAAGACAAATATCTTTTACAGAACAGATCCTAAACCTCCCCAAGACAATAAGAACCTTTAGTGTTGCCATTTAACGAAAATTTATCTCAAATTCCTCTACAACTTAAAACCTGGAATGTAAATGTATCGTTTAGTAGCTCATGCACCGTAACACAAATGTTAATTAACAACTCCTCCAGCAATACAGGTGGCTGCATTTGCATGGTTTCTTGCAAGGAATGTAATATGTTCAAATTACAGCAAACAAGACAAATATCTTATAAATAGACTTAAACAACATAAATATAGTGTTCATTAAGATAAGTCAGTGATCCAATACTTTGTTCGTTTTTTCAGAGATGATAATCATTTCATTGACTGTGATAATGCCTCCTCAATCTTGCCATGTAATTCAATTGTCTCATTAAATATAATGAATTTGTTAACATGAATTTGGGAAATGGCATGTAAAAAATGGATAATTTTGTCATTAAGAAGATTTTTAATCAGAAAAAAGGTTTGGGCCACAACGTAGTGACCTGAATATGGTGGACACCTGCTGTCCCTAGTGACTTGATCTCACTCTCCATTATTTTATAAGATGTGAACTACACGAAAGCGTTTGAGGACTTCGTATTTTTTTTTCTATATGGTTAAAAACATTTACATGGATCACGCGCACCTACAGTGATTTATTTACACACACACACACACACTTCCTTCAGCCTTCATAGGCTAAGGAAGTGTGTATTCGGCGCTGCCCGCTGACGCGGCGGTGGTTGCAGCTGCCGTGGAGACAGCTGCCAGCCCGGTCTGTCGGGCCCTCCCCTTAAGAACATAAGAACATAAGAAAATAAGGAGTCTGCAATAGGCCGGTTGGCCTGTGCATGGCAGCTCCTGTCGAGAGGTACTGCCACTCTCTATCATCCATGAATCTATCCAGCCTCCCTTTGAAACTTTCCAGCGTTCCAGCACTTACTACAAAGTTGCTAAGCTTGTTCCACTCGTCCACCACCCTATTTGTAAACCAGTTCCTTCCTATCTCCCTCCTAAACCTAAACTTATGCAACTTAAATCCGTTGCTACGAGTCCTATCCTGCTCGGATATTATAAGAACTTTACAGGTATCTATATCACCTTTATTGATTCCTTTCACCCACTTGAATACTTCTATCATATCTCCCCGCACTCTTCGTCTTTCTAGGGAATGCAAGTTTAGTTTCTTTAACGTATCCTCATATGGAAGGTTTCTAAGTCCCGGAATCATTTTCGTCATTCTTCTCTGCACCGACTCTAGTGAATTGATATCCATTCTATAATAAGGGCACCAGAACTGAACTGCATAATCGAGGTGCGGCCTGACTAGCGCAATAAGACCTCTGCACGCTTATTACTTACACTTCTAGATATAAAACCCAATACTCTGTTTGCCTTATTTCGAACATTAACGCACTGTTTTCTAGGCCGTAGGTCCGGGCTTACAAGTACCCCTAGGTCTCTTTCATAAGTCGACTTCTCTAGGTTGATGTTGTTAAGGCTGTATACATTGACAGTATTTGTTCTTCCAGTATTCAGTACGCTGCACTTGCTGGTGTTAAATTTCATTTGCCATTTTTCTGACCACTCCTGCAGTTTATTTAAATCCTCCTGTAGTGCATTTGTATCCTGCCCTGAATTAATCTGCCGCCCTATTTTGGTGTCATCCGGAAACTTGCTTATGTTACTGCTGATCCCAGCATCTAGATCGTTTATGTAGATTATGAACAAGAGTGGGCCTAGTACTGACCCCTGGGGAACCCCACTAGTTACACAGCCCCACTCAGAATTAGCACCATCTACGCTGACCCTCTGCGTTCTATCGGTGAGCCACGATTTTATCCAATTTAAAACTTTCCCCTCGATACCATGAGCCTTACCTTTTCTCAGAAGCTTCTGATGCGGAACTCTGTAAAATTCTTTGCTAAAGTCTAAGTAAATAACATCGTAATTTTCGTCGTTATCTACCTCGAAAACTTTCCTAAAAAACGTCAGCAGATTTGTTAGACAAGATTTTTCCTTTGTAAACCCATGTTGAGAGTCGTAGATTAATTTGCTTTTCTCTAAATGCGATCGGGTGCTATTTGCTATAATTGATTCAAGAAATTTCCCCACTACTGACGTCAAACTGATCGGCCGGCAATTTGACGCTGATGCTCTGTATCCCTTTTCGAATATGGGTACTACATTTTCCTGTTTCCACAAGTCTGGCACAACTCCAGTGTTTAATGATTTTGTAAATAAGTTTACGAGGGGTCCGCTAATCTGTTCCCTACACTCTTTCAAGACTCGAGGGAAAATTTCAATCGACCCTGGGGATTTTGTCTTCTTTATTTATTTATCCTCTTAAGAACATCCTCTTTTCTGATAGTGATATTCTTTAATTTCTCTTCTTCATTTCCCCTAAATATAAGAACATAAGAATGGAGGAAACTGCAGCGGGCCTATTGGCCCATACTGGGCAGTCCCGTTTGCACCCAACCCTTATTGCTCATATAAGCATCCAACCTATGTTTGAAGCTATTCAGCGTATTCGAGTTAATGATGATATTTGGTAACTTGTTCCATTCATCCACTACTCTGTTTTCAAACCAGTGTGTACCTATTTCACGCCTAAATGTAAATTTGTCTAATTTAAAACCATTGTTACGAGTTCGCTCTTGGTTGGATAGTTTGAGTACCTTTGTAATGTCCCCTTTGTTTAGCCCTGACTTCCACTTATACACCTCAATCAGGTCGCCCCTCGCTCTACGTCTCTCGAGGGTGTGCAAATTAAGATGCTTTAACCTGTCTCTATACTCAAGGTTCCTAATGCCCGGGATTAGTCTTGTCATTCTCCTCTGAATTCTTTCCAAGGATTCTATATCCATTCTGTAATACGGTGACCAGAACTGAACTGCGTAATCCAGGTGTGGTCTCACAAGAGCAAGATTCAGTTTTAGGATGACCTCGCTAGTCTTGTAGCTAGCACTCGTTGGCATGAACCTAAGTACTTTATTAGCCTTGTTACGAGCAAAAACACATTGTTTACTTGGCTTAAGGTTCCTACTTAAAATTACTCCTAAATCTCTCTCGCAGTCGGATTTCTCTATGGCATCGTTGTTCATCTGGTATCTGGTTTCCCTGTTTACATCTCCTATACTGAGTACTTTACATTTATCCATGTTGAATTTCATCTGCCATTATTCAGACCATTCGAAAAATTTGTTTAGATCTTCCTGTAATTTTGCGGAGTCCTCGTCAGATTTAATAACACGTCCTATTTTAGAGTCATCAGCAAATTTGCTTATGTTGCTGTCTATGCCGAAATCTATGTCGTTTATGTATATAATAAATAATAATGGTCC